TACTAGAAACTGAGGGGAAATAGAAGTGAAACTTTTTTTTTATGTTTATTTATTTTGAGAGAGAGGACATGTCAGCATGTGCATTGGGGGGAGGGGAGAAGGAAAGGGAGAGAAATCCCAAGCAGGCTCCGCCGCACCCCTACAGGGTTCAAACTAAGAAACAGAATCATGAGATCATGAAATAAGGAGAAATCAAGAGTCCAATGCTTAACTGACTGAGTCCCTAGATGGGCAACTTAACCAGTGAGAAATATCTACAAGAAATCTACAACTAACTTTAAAGTTTAATGGTGAGAACCTGAATGTTTTTCACTTATGGAGCAAGGATTTTTAATTTTTTACCATTTCTACTTAAATCTCAGTGGCAATTCTAACTACTGTGAAAAGACAAGTAGAGGAAATAAAATAAATGTATACACACTAAAAAGAAAGAAAGCTGCCTTTATCCACAGATGGCATGACTGTGTATGAGAAAATCCCAAAGAATTAACCAAAAAAGTACTGCAACTAGTGAGTATCACAAACTTACAGGATACAAGTTTAATAGTGAAAAATTAATAGCTTTCCCCCATAATTCCATTAAAAATTATAATATAAAATAAAGATGCCATTAACAATAGCACCCCCAAAATGAAAATTTGGTTATAAATCTAACAAAATATTTATAGGATTTATATATGGAAAACTACAAATCTCTGATGAAAAATAAATCAAAGTTCAAAATGAATGGGGTGGTATTTTTGTTTCCATGGACTGTAAAACTTAATACTGGTAAGATTCAATTCTACCAATCATATCTATAGATTAAAAACAGTGCCAGTTGAAATGTTATCTATTTTATAGATACGAACAAATTAACTCTAAAGTTGATATGGAAAAACAAAAGATCTAGAATACTCACCATAATATTGAAAAGAAGAAAAAGGTAGAAGAGAAAACTGATTTCAAAATAGTGTATTTGGGTGCAAAATCAGGCATACAGATCAATGGAACATAATGGAGAAATCAGATATAGATGCATACAAATATAGCAAACTATTCTTTGACATAGTGCAAAGGAAATTCAATAGGGAAAGGATTATCTTTTCAATAAATGGTGCTAGAACTGGACAACAATATGCAAAAGCATGAACATAGACACAAACATTATATCTATGAATAAAAACAAAAGTCAATCATATACCTAAATCTAAAAAGCAAAACTAATATTTTTAAAGGAAAATAGGAGAAAACATAGGTGACTTTATATTTGGTGATGAAATTTTAGATACAACATCAAAAGTATGATACATGAAAGTGGAAAGTGATAAATTGGACTTAGTAAAAGTAAAAAAAAATCTGCTCTATGAAAGTGAATGAAAAGTCAAGGCACAGACAGGGTAAAAACATTTGCAAAATGTATCTGATACAGGAATTGTATCCAAAATATTCAAAGAACCATTAAAACTCAACAATAAGAAAACAAACAACCCAATTTAAAAATGGGTGCAAGAAACCAATTTGACAATAAACTATATTATTTTTTTAAATGGGCAGAAGATCTGAACAGATAACTCATCCAAAAATAAATAAATAAATGACAAACACATGAAGAGATATTCAACAACTTGTGACATTAAGGATTTACCAATTAAAGCAAAAATGAGATGTAACTACAAACTATTATAATTACTAATATCTAAAAAAATCTGATAATACAAATTGCTGGCATGGGTTCAGGTCATCAAGAACTCTCATTCATTGCTGATATAAATACAAAATGGTACAGACAGTTTGAAAGATAGTTTGATTATTTCTTACAAAGCTAAGTCTTTCTATATGATCCAGTAATCACACTCCTAGGTATTTACATAATTGATTTAAGAATTTATACCCACAGCCTGGGTGGCTCAGTCAGTTAAGTGTGCCACTCTTGATTTTGGCTCAGATCAGGATTTCATAGTTTGAGTTCAAGCTTACATTGGGCTCTGTGCTCTTGACTTGTCTGCCCCTTCTCCATTCATGCTCTCTTTCTCTCTCTTGCAAAATAAATAAATAAATAAATAAATAAATAAACTTTAAAAAAAGGAACTTATGCCCACACAAAAACCTGTTCACTAATATTTTAGCAGCTTTATTTATAATGCAAAAAAACTGGAAGCAACCAAAATGTGCTTCAACAGGTAAATTAATAAATAACTATGGTTCATCCATACAATAGGGTTGAGAATTTTTAAAAAGTTAAAGTGCCTTAACTCAGTTAAGTGGCTGCCTTCAGCTCAAGTTGTGATCTTGTGGCTTGTGAGTTCGAGCTCCATGTCAGGCTGTGCTGACAGCTGAGAGCCTGGAGCTAGCTTCAAATTCTGTGTCTCCCTCTCTCTCTGCCCCTACCCTGCTTGCACTCTGTCTCTTAAAAATAAATAAACATTCAAAAACTTTTTTTTAAAAAACGTTAGCTATCATACCACCAAAATCCATTAGTGAATATTAAATGCATATTTCTTCTATTCAATAAAGGAAGCTTTGAATAAAGTTTATGGATAGATACCAGTGTATGCTGTATATAAAATTGACAGAAGAGATAAAGCAATTCAGCACACCAACATGAAATATGGTACCTCAATAGAATAATTAGGTAAAATATAAAAATATATTAACAGATAATTCATACGAGGAAACCCAGATGGCTAACATGTTAATACAAAATATGCAAGCTCGTTAACCATAAGAAAAATGTAAATAAATCCAACAATGAAATATCACTTTATATTTGAAAACTTGATACTCCCCAGAGCTGACAGTGATGTGGGACTATTGGAAGTTTCCTACACTGCTGATGGGAACGTGCATTGATGCCTCCATCGGGCAGTGTGGGAAATACCCTGGTAATAGTCATTGAACTGCATATAGAATTGGAAATATAGCAATTCTGTAGAATTCTACTCCTCTATACACCTTATGGGAAAAGTGTATAGATACATGAAGGGACAAGTATGTTTATCAGTGTTATTTGCGGTGGCAAGCATTTGGAGGAGGAAACCTAGTTATCCATCATCAGAAATGTCTAAGTGTAGAATGTAGTAGAGGCAAACTAGGGTACAATGCGGCAGTTAGAGGCAATAGGAAACGTGCAGATATAGCAACGTGGATGGATCTCAAAAGCTAAGTTTGAGTGAGAAAAAAAAAAAAGAAACAATACCATTGTGTAAATAAAATTTCATGCACACAAAATAACAATTCATAGCTTGCAAGAATGAATAATTCATAGTATCTCAGGTTGAAGATCTTGTAAAACAGAGTCAGAAGCAAGTTGTAAGAGCTAGTTCTTTATTGGAAGGTACAATCCCAGAGGAAACTGATGTGAGGTGAGGAAGGATAGGATGCTAATGTACGGTATGGGTTAAGGTATGGCCACTGATCTATGATGAGCGACAAAAAGACACAGTTCGGGTCTCCTGTTACTTGTGCATATGGTGGCCACATGACACATTTCTGGATAGACTCTACAGAAAAAAACTGTGCTTTGAATGAGTTAATGGGAGCTTGGTATAGAGAGAGGGTATATTTCTCTCATCTTTTGTCTCCATTGGTCAAAATATACCCCACAGGGAAATAATTCTACTTTGCTTTAGGTTGAGGAAGAATGTTGGCCCCTTGGGAAGTCAGACCCCATGTCTTGTGCTGTGGTGGGAGAAAGGAAAAATCCTAACCCTTGCGTGTCAGATACATATGGGTGCTCTTGGACTCAGTGGGCTGCAGTAAAGACTAAAATGGAACAAGTGGGCAAAAATTCAAGAAAGAAGTAATTGTAGAAGACATGTGTAATATTTGGCACACCTAAAAACAAAAAGTTCTATATTAAATGGATTAAAATGGTTGCTTATGGTGAGGGAAGTAGAAAGAGTGAGGAATGTGGATAAAAAGGAATTAATAAAACAAGAGACTGCTTGCCGGAAACAAGGTTATAATGGGTCATGAAGCAGAGTATAATTAACTTTACCTTCTTCACCTAAATTCAAAAAGAAAGGAATGCAAAGAAAATCCAATAGGTTGTGTCATAATCATCACCAAGTAACTGGAGTATAAAATCCCAAATGAAAGACTTTACCTGGTAAATTGTTTAAAAAGCACAAGATAACATGTGTCATAGAAGATAATAAGCAAGGGTTTTTCTTATTTTTAATACAGAAAACTAAATCAATATTGGTTTTGTTTAATTAAAAGTATGAATAAAATTGCATGATAAAAGTAACATTTTCTATATTACAAATATTACCAAGAGTACTGGGAAAGGCCAGTCAGGATTAGTAAATCGGTGAATCAAAATAGAGAGAAATTGTTTACTAATGCATTGACAAAAGTGTTTAATTTAAAAAAATATTACTTACAAACTATAAATTCATTGGGTCTTGAGTAGGTGAAAAATTACCTTTGTAATAGAGAAATGCTTAGTATTAGAGTGAATTGAATGTTTGTATTCCCTCAAAATGTGTACGTTGAAAACCTGATCCTGGATGTGATTGGATTAGGAAGCAGGGGGCTTTGTGAAGCAATGAGGTTTAGCAATGAGATCATGAGGAGCTCTCAGGATTAGTGCCCTTATACATGGAGGAGGGGACATTAGAGCTTCCTCTCGCTACCATGTGAGGAGGGTACAATGAAAAGGGCATCAGCAAACCATGAAGAGGGCCACACCAAGGGCCAAATCTGCTGGAACCCTGATCTTGGACTCTTCAGCCTCCAAAACGATGAGAAATAAATGCCTAGTTTATAAGTCACCCAGTCTATGGTGTTGTGTTATGACAGCCAGATTAGACTGACACATTCTGTTAGGTCTCTTTTGCTGCAAATGACAGAAACTGAACTCAAATGAGCTTCAATTCAATGAAAGAACAGACCAGAGACATTTACTATCACGCTTTACAAAGTAAGGGGTGCAATTGGCCTCCTGCTCAACAGAATCTATAATCTCAAATAGTCTCATAAATGTGGGGTCTGATTTCATATTCTCTCTTTTTCAGTTTCTTGCCACTCCTTTTGTCACTGTGTTGACCTCTCTCTCCAGATTTTCTTCATGGCCAGTGGAGGTAATGTAGCACAATACAGAAGTTGAAAGAGAAAACCGTGCCTCTGGAATTCAGGAAATTCCAGAGAACTCTGAGTAGTCAAGCCAAGATCTCGTGACCAGTTTTGTAGCCACAGGGAGTAGGAATTTAATTCATATTGGAACAACATGACACAGATGAACAGTAGAAGCAAGTCTTTGAATGAAGACTAGAGCACTATTACTAGACAATGGAGAAGTTGGTCAGAGTAAAATAATAATAATAAGTTATCATTAAAATTTCTTAGTGTTTGTGGGGCGCCTGGGTGGCTTAGTCGGTTAAGCGTCCGACTTTCGCTTAGGTCATGATCTCACGGTTCATGGGTTCGAGCCCCGTGTCGGGCTCTGTGCTGGCTGCCAGCTCAGAGCCTGGAGCCTATTTCAGAGTCTGTGACTCCCTCTCTCTCTGACCCTCCCCTGCTCACCCTGTCTCTCTCTCTCTTTCTCTCCTAGAAATAAATAAAACATTAAAAAAATTTTTTTTAATTTCTTAGTGTTTGCATACCTTAACAAGCATTAATCCTTGGGATTTTAGACAAATGAAAATTCCAGGGATTTTATCAGAAATCTCCAAAATCATGTTATTTTCTAATGTTTATAATTTTATTTGTATTTTTAAAAATGATTGATCATGATAATATGAAATGAATCATTTTACTGTGATAGAAAGTTTCTGTGATATGTTTCAGTCTTTTTCTGCTAAAATTCAAACTAATAATAAATGTATGATTTATTTTTTGTTATCAACAAGTGGATTTTGAGAAGATTATGAATTTTAATATCATGTACAAGTAATTAGTACCTGACACAGATCATTGATAATAGAAAATTCTAGAAGAAGGGACCATGATTATAAAATGCCAACTAGAAATCATTTTATAAATTGAAAAATAACATCAGAAAAATTTATCATTCTTAAAATGAAATTTTAAAACATTCAAAGCACTGATTGCCCTATCTTATAGTTTTGATCTTAACAAAGATACTTGATATAGAAAGATGTCTTTCAGTTTGCAGTGAAATCAGCAGAATTATTTAGTGTCCAAAACAGCTTCATGGATATTAGGAGAACAAATGGTTTCATAAAATCTTTTTTTAAATTTATGATTAAGATTTTCTTTTGCTTGCTTTGATTTTGGTTGACAATGTTGATACTATTTTTGCCAACTGAGATTTTATATTAATTTTTAATTTCATGCACACATTTTTTCCTTTGCATGCCTTCTGCTAATGTGTCTACAAAGAACAGGAGTCTATATCAAACATTCAAACCTGAAGAATGTCAGTGAATGTTTTTGCATGATATTCAAACAATACAACATTAGTATTTTTTGCAAGGATATCATCACTGCACATAACCACATGTTAAATTGTCAATTTAAGGCTTATTTTTGCTTCCAAACTCATTAGTTCTTGGAACATCATTTATAGGATTAGTATAAAGAATACGATGAGTACAAACATATTAATATGTTTTCTATTTGCAAGAATGAACATATCACTGTTAGCAGAAGACAAGGCACAATTTGTACTTACAACATGACAATGGCTATGAGTCAGGACTAGGTCTCTCCTGACAGTTTATTTCCTAATTTCCAGAAATATTGGCTATCGCCTTTAACTTCTCCTGCTGGGACTTTTGTTTTGTTTTGTGGGTTTTTTTGTTTGTTTCTTTTTTTTAAAATTCTCATTTCAATTTGACATGAATGGGTATTTTCAAAGGATTACTATTTCTCTGTTGACAGTTTATTTTTTATACTTACAGGAGAATTATATTTTCCTATTTCCTGATGTCTGAATTCATTTGTCCCAGAATATGGGATTACTAAGGACATATAAAATTCCTACAAAGTACTGAGAAGGGATTCCCAAATGTAGATGCTAAGTTCTTATAAATCTCTTAAATACTTCCTCTCAAAATAAGAAGCTTGATTCTGAAGCATACAATGACTTTTTACATTAACAAATGAGATTAGGTTCATGAAACAATCTCATATCTGGTTGTTTTTCCCTTCTCTTACCCTAAAAATGTACTCTATAATTCCAATTGCTATCACCACAGTGGAGAGGTGCTGTTTAGGGTAACTTAGGCTCAGCAGAAAACCCTAATCAATGCATGGATATTTCCATGTTAAAGTTTGTTTGATATTATTCTCTATTCAAAATTGCCTTTGATAAAATGGTATAAATTTAATAACTGATTTTCATAAGATATGAAAAGTACAAGAGAAATAGAACTAAGAGCAAGTTAAACAGTTTAAAAGGAATAAACTATTAGTGTCTCCTTATATATCTATTTTTCTCTATTTTATTTGTATTTTTTATTTATATTAGACAAATCCTAAATGCCTTGACTAAAACAATTCCTCTAACTTTTTGTATTACTTAAAAACATTTTCTTTCACTTATCTCAGTCAGTTCTTCTTCCAACCAATAATTACCATTTTAGGAAGATTTTATTCACCTCTTCCACTGCTACAAGTTTTATGCTTGATTTTTTTCTGGCCTTCCAAATGATACATGTTTTGTGATAATTTCTCTCCAGGTAAAACCCAAATCTTGCCATCTGCAATGATGTGGATGGAGTTAGAGAGTATTATGCTAAAGGAAGTCAGTCAGTCAGTCAGAGAAAGACCAAACCCTTATGATTTCACTTATATGTGGAATTTAAGAAACAAAACAGATGAACATGAGGAGGAGGAAGAGAGCAAAGCAAGAAACAGAGTCTAAACTATAAAGAACAAACTGGTGGTTACCAGAGGGGTGATGGGTGGGGGGATGGGTTAAATGGGTGATGGGGATTGAGTTCACTTCTTGTGATGAGCACCAGGTGTTGCATAGAAGTGTTGAGTCACTATATTGTACTCCTGAACCTAATGTTATACTGTATGTTAACAAAAATAAAATTCAAATAAAATTTTAGAGAAAAAAATAAAAAGAACTCTTTCTCCTTCCCAAATTCACATCTGAAAATCTACAAGTGAAAATCAGGATTTTGTTACCCAGTAACTAGGATCCCACAGAGAATGTTCTCTGGCTTTTGTGCTTTTCTTTCTCCACTTGGTCAATAGTTAATTACTTAAAAAAAATCTTTTATGGAGCACAGGAGTCCCCAGTAGCCCAAATGTTTTATAATTCTTTTTCCATAGGTCAACTCCTATGCTTTCCTCACATTGACTTAAATTGGTGTCCAGGACCCAGGCTGAAGGCACACAATGCTACAGGAGAGTAAAAGGTTATATAATCAATCAACAGGCTGTTGGAAAAGGTCAGTAATATTACAATTATTAAAAAGTACATTTTCTTTGGGGATCAGAAATGAAGATCCTCAATGAAGAACTAATGAAGTTCAAGTTTGCACTTCTGTGTTTACACATTGCAGGTGGTGCCTGACCTTCAGAAATGGCACATTGTCTCAGATCCTGCATGGAAATTTTAATTTCCTTGAATTGCAGTAGAGCTGTGATACTGCTCTTCCCATCTGTGTACTTAGATTTATTAAGGTTTAGTATTTCAAACATGTGTTTCCCTTCTGGTTCTGAAAATTTCAGGCTTGTAAACAATTTTAAAAAATAAACAAAAATATGCAAAATGCTAAATTTGGTTTGTGATCTCCTTTTTCTAGAGTTGTGATTGGAAACCAATTACAAATAGTTGACAAGGTGCATCACAATAGGAGCCCAATGTTGCCAAATGACTTATTTCTATCTTCATGAGATACAGACGTTTTGGAGACTGAGTGAAAGAACTGGATTTCTGCATTTTTTCTTTTGGTATTTGACCATATATTACAAGATACTATAATGAGTATAATACATTTTTTTAAAAAACTATGACAGCAAACCTTAATGAAAAATAAATAAAAATCCTGTGAAGTAAAATTTTTTTATCTGTCTGTGAATGTTCAATATAATTCTGGTTAGCGTATGCAAAATGAGAGAAGGTTATTGTTCTATTTTACCAGCTCAGAGACAGTTTTTCAGTCTACAGTTCCTAGTGCTAACACAGCTCTTAGAGAGAGTTCTAGGCCATGTGTTCTGTTCAAGACAAAGTAAACTAGTGGAAAATGCTTTTGTAATCACACTAGTAGTAAGAGAGAAAGCAAATATCTGAGACCAGCATCTTTCCTAGGTAAAAAGTATAATGAATCTATATGCTTTATCAAAAAATCAAAGGGTTTATGAGAACCATTGAAAGATTTTGATTCCAGAGAGATGGGGAAAAAATGAAGTGAACCCTATGAATGTCCCAGCTTAGTGACCTGATGGAGTTGTCAGGCTTTAGCACAGGAAGAGGGAAACAGACTCTAATGAATTCCTTAGACTGAGAAGGTGGAGTTAAAAACCCAGTGAAACAAAAGCACAGTTTATGGGATAAAGCACCAGAGGAAAGAGAACTGTGCAGACAAAACTACACTGGGTTCATCTCAGGTATGCAGCAAAATACTAGCACACCTCTCAGGTAGCGAGCCAATTACTGATTGGCACATATCCCACATGTATGAGGAAAATACTCAAGGTCAGAGAAAGAGCCACTCCTCGAAAGGATCAGAGGAAATGAGTACTTGGTGCTCACAGTGGTTTCGTCTGACAGACTGGAAAACATTAAAATTTAGGGAATACTGGATAGAACAGTCAGAAGCATTCTACTTTAGTGGTGAGGCAAAATTTCACCACTAGCAATGCCTAGTAAATCAGACGTGAAAAGAAAGATTACTCTTTCCAAGTAACTTAAGAACAAAGCTCCAAAATAGTTAAAGGAATATAAAAAGATCCAGCATCCAAAAAGATAAAATCCACACAAAGTATGACATTCATCAAAAATTAGCATGCATGCTGAGAAACAGGAACTTACAACCAACTGAAGAGAAAAATCAAGAGTCATCAAAACTGACCCAGCACACATGTTCTATAAATATATTAAAACTAGTATTAAAACTGCACATCTATTTAAAAAAAAACTAAGTAAAATATAAAAGGTATTTTAGAAAGACATAAATTGAACATGAGAGATGAAAACTAAAATGTGTGAAATGCAAAATTTACTCAATGGAATTACTGGCCAATTAGATGGTGTAGAATAAAAAATAAACCTAAGGCATAGAAATATAAACTGTCCAAAATAAAACAGAGAAAGAAAATAACTTAAAAAATGGAAAGATTACTCATGACATCTGGTATGACTTCAAGTACCCTAATTTACAAATAATTGGAATCAATATGGGGACAAGGTCACAAAAATATTTGAAAAATAATTGCTATTTTTTCCCCAAATTTTATGAAAAGTACAAGTCAACAACAGATTTAAGAAGTTTAATGATTCCCCAGCACAGGGAAGCATGGGAAAATCTGTACTAATGCATATCAAATAAAATTACTCACAACCAAGGTCAAAGAGAAAATCTTAAAAGCATTCAGATAAAAAAAAAGACACCTTAGTAATATATGATCAAAGATAAGAATGACTACAGACTTTTCTTCAGAAAAAAAAAGAAATAGTGAAGCAATATTTTTTATTTTTTTTAAATATTTTTTATTTATTTCTGAGAGAGAGAGAGACAGCATGAGCAGGGGAGGGTCAGAGAGAGGGAGACAGAATCTGAAACAGGCTCCAGGCTCTGAGCTGGCTATCAGCACAGAGCCTGATGCGGGGCTCAAACCCACAAACTGGGAGATCATGACTGAAGCTGATGTAAGACGCTTAACTGACTAAGCCACCTGGGCACCCCAGTGAAGCAATATTTTTTAAAATTTTGAAAACGACAACAGAAAACCCTATAAGCCTATAATTCTATACAGAGTAAAAATATCTTGGAAAATCAAATCAAAATAAAGGCTTTATCAAGCACACTAAAGTTAAAGAATAATTGAGTGGCAAATAAAAAACCACTATAAGAAATAGGGGCGCCTGGGTGGCTTAGTCGGTTAAGCGTCCGACTTTCGCTTAGGTCATGATCTCGCTGTTCGTGGGTTCGAGCCCCGTGTCGGGCTCTGTGCTGACTGCCAGCTCAGAGCCTGGAGCCTGTTTCAGAGTCTGTGACTCTCTCTCTCTCTGACCCTCCCCTGCTCACGCTGTCTCTCTCTCTCTCCTAGAAATAAATAAAACATTTAAAAAAAAAAAAAGAAATATTAAAGATAATTCTTCAGGCAGAAGGAAAAGTGATACAACATGGTAATGTAGAGCTACACAAAAGAACTATATGTACTAGATATGGCAACTATATGACTGAATATTCAAGATTGTAATCATACTATTTAAATATCTTGAATATATAATTGTTTGAAGATGAATAATAATGTAATGTGAAGTTTATAACATATGAACAGTTCACGACATACAGAAAAGTAAAATATTTGACAACAGTAGCAAATGCAGGGTGAGGAGAAAATGAACTATATTTTTAACATGTTTCTAATGCTATATTTGAAGTAAAATCATATGTGAAGGTAAACATGAAAAGTTAAAAACATGCATTATACAGCGTTTATCAAGCACTAAAAAGACAAAGCAAAGAAATATAGCCAATAAGGTATGTAGAATGGAATTGTAACAAATACTGGATTAATCCACGATGAGGCAGAAAAAAGGACATGGGAAAAAGAACAGATTTCTCACTAGCAACAAAAAGATAGGCCATTCAGAAAATGTCAATAAGTACATTAAATGTGAGTAGTCTAACTATCCAAACTAATATTTAAAGATCAATATTATAATATTGAATTAAACAAAAGCAAGACTTTAAATATGCCAACTACAAGAAATATTTAAAATGTAAAAGCACAAGTGATTTACAAGAAAAAGGACAGAAAAAGATACACTACGCTATCACTAACCAAAGAAAGTATAGTGACTGTACTAATATCAGACAAAGTAGGTTTCAGAAGAAAGAATATTATAAGAGATAAAGAAGTCAGTGTCATAACGCTAAAGGGGTAAATCCATAAAGAAACTATAACAATTCTAACAATCATGTGTCTAATAATGGCTTCAAAATACATGAAGGAAAAAAAAACCTGATAAAATTTCAAGGATAGAGAAACCCACAATTAAGATGTAGAGATTTTAATACCTCTTCCTAAGTAACTGTTAGAACAAGCAGCTAAAAATTCAGGAAGAAATTAGAAGACTTAAATAAAATACCCAATAACAATCTAATTGAAATTTATAGAATAGTTCAATCCAAAACACCAGACTTCAGATGCATTTGAAATATACACTATAATAAACCATATTCTGTGCTGTAAAACAAATCTCAATAAATGTAAAAGGTTCCAAGTCAAAGTATCTTCTTTCACTACAATGGAATTACATTAGACATCAATAATAGAAAAATCTCCTTCAACTTCCCCAATACTTGAAAACTTAAGTAACGTACTTCTAAATAACTTCTGGGTCAAAGAAGAAAGAAAATGAAAATTAGAAAATATTTTCTATTGAATGATAATAAAAAAACATATCAAAATTTGTAGAATGCTATTAAAGCAGTGGTTAGGTGAAATTTCTAGCACTAAGTGACTATATCAGAAAATAACATCAGGCTTCCTTCTACTTTAAGACAATGAAAGAAGAACAAATTAAATGTGAAGAAACAGAAAAAAGAAATAATAAAAATCAGAGTAGATACCAATAAAATAGAGGTATAATATTGAAAATCAATAAAAATGAAACCTGGATCTTTGAGATGTATAAAATTGATCTAACCTGATTAAGAAAAGAGGGACAAGATACAGATAAACAATGTCAGGAATTAAAGAGCTGATAACATTGGAGATTCTACCGATATTAAAAGGAGACTAAGAGACTATCAAAGGTAACTTTATCTCAATAAATTCAACTCTTTAGATGAAACAGATACATTCCTTGAGAAATATCAAGTATAAAAGTTTGTTTAAATATAAATAGTCTGAGTCACCTTGTATCTGTTTAAGAATTTGAATTGGTACTTCTCACAAAGAAAATTCCAAGCACCGATGACCTCACTACTGAATTCTACCAAACCTGAAAGAAAGAAAGAATACAAACACCATAGAAACTCTTACTGAAAATTAGGGAGAGAACACTTTGCAAATCATTCTATGTAGTCAGCATTACCATAATACCAAAACCAAGCAAAGAGTTTATAAGAATGGAAAACTGAATACCCATATTTCCTATAAATGTAGATTAAACACCTAAGCAAAACTTATCAAAATGTTTCAAGCCTATAAAAAGTTGAATTATATAAAAGAGAATACAAGATGAGAGTGGTTGGCAGAATTTTTT